TGTTTTATTGGTATAAAGTCCAATCATTTATAAAGTAGATCCTGCTATGGTGACTGCATTATTAAGTTACTTTGGTTGGTTGCTTTTCTCGGTAGCTGCCATAGAATGCAGCATTCTTTTGTTTTGGTTTGGTGTTTTTTTTTTTTTTGGAGTGAGCTAAATATTTTTTAGCTGAGATGAAATGAGAGGCCATGTTTGTTTACCTCTAATCATATGAAAATGATGAGATGCAAACCAAAAATCCATAACTGAAATCATCCATTATGAAAGTACAGTCACTTGCATGACACCTTAGCTGCTGTAATACAGTAGGAGTAGAGAGGCTGACGGCTCAAGATCAAGATCATACAGAGGTAAAATTCCCATGACTTCCCTCCCCACTACCACGGCTCTGAAGGAAGCAGGTAACTTGACAATTGACGGGTTGTTTGTAGTGGCAAATGTCCAGTCACCCATTGCATCTAATTGTTTTACAGTCAGCTTCAAGGTTTTTCAAGGTCTTCAGCTGAGAAGGTAATTTAATCTAGTGGCATGGACAGTGCCTCTGCTTCTTCATTGCTCTTAAGGCACCTGCTCGTAACACGTGCCCTGACACACAATACTGATGTACAGTACACAAACTCCCAGACAGCTCCTTCCGGCGGTCTCTCACAAAGGGTCCGAACTGCATGTCTGCACACAGCCCATCTTTCCTTTCATCTTACTAAAGCAATATCTCTTCTTTCATCTGCTTTAAAGCTGGAAGAAAAGAGGACATACTCACAAAAATGTCACAGAAGTGCTACACAATCCTTTTTCAGAAAAGGTTGTATTGTAATGACATGGATGTCAATAAAAATACTGTTTGATCCTTTTTCAACTATGGACTTTGGGACAGAGCATTTCTTTCCCAAACCCCTAAGACGACTAAGCCTCTGAATCCAATAAAAGCTTAAAAAATAATCAGTATTCTTATTAGAATTGTGTTTATCTCAGAACCTGACTAGAATACAGGCACTGGTTTAAGGAAATAAACCTTTTATTTCTCTTAACTACAGTCCAGCTGCAAAAGACAACCAATAAAGGCACAGAAATAGTATGAGTCTTGACTTGCCCTAGGATCATCTGATATGTAAGGAATTAAAACCAGCTTGACTCTTGTCATTTGAAACCTGCCATAATTATCACAGTTTGAGGCCTAACTAGAAGGTCTCAAACTGTGTTTTTAAACTCAGTGTCTTAAATGTTACCATTTCGAAATCTCTACTTTTTTTAAGTCATATTTAAGAGCCTTTTGAGACTGTTCTATGTCAAAATAAAAAAAAAAACGGTAGCTTTTTAGTTTTTAGGATTAATACCACACACAAAAAGTTTCAATTTAATTAAGTATGCTATATGTAATTTGTGTGGTAGCAGAATATACATTAATTATTTTAGAATTTCAGGGACTTTAAATGACTTTTATTTATTTCTATAGTATATACCGGACATTAGTTTTTATGACTTCCATTAGTTAATCAAGAAAAAATATCCAAATATTGGAAATCAGTAGATGGAGATCAGCACAGACCTCTAATGGCTTAAGGTGTAAACCATGTGAATCCCATGAGCTCATGAAACATACTGATCGGATTCGAATCTCAAACCTGTTGGCTATTTATTTTCAGATATGTAAATTCAAAACCCTAGGATGGTTGTGAGCTGGGAATGTCCATTAATCCCCAATAACTACAACAGTTCAGGGCTGTGGTCATCTGAAGTCTAAGATGGCAGTCGATGGGCAAGAGGCAGGCTGCAGTCCATTGCAAGAAACACAAAAGGGGGGAAAATTGATCTAGACAGCATGTCTTTGGACTATGGGAGGAGACTGGAGCATCTGGCTTAAACAAAGCCCCAGGTGCTCCAGGCTGGAATGAAGCCCAGTAAGGGCTGTGAGAAAGCAACGCTTACTGTGTGTCCACGTGTCTCTATAATCCAAATCAAAAATCAACTTTGTATGGACCCTGCTTTTGCATTCAGAAGACCGTTGTATTCCTTCCTTTTGTATCGCCTCATTCGTTTTCCATAAACATCTATATATCCAAAAGAGACATGCTATTGCTGAGATCATGGTGATTACAAAGCAGGTACTTTAGCAAAATTAAAAACAAAACACAGTTTTTTAGCTTTGCTTAATACACATCCAATCAACAACTGAAAAGCGGAAGGAATCTTTTCCTTATTATTTGTATTATATTGTCACATCATGCTGGATTAATTAATATTCCTATGAATACAAATCAATACAGTAATTTATCTAAAAAATATTTTACAGTCTGAGGTATACTGAGTTATTGTCTTTTACTTAAAACAATATTTTAAAACTAAAATTCTAAAATACAGAGGTGTTAGACACTAGTTACGGTAGAAGCTATTTAGCCAATTAAGCTCACTGAACTACTTATAAAACGATTCTTCTGTAGTTTCAGTGTCATTCAAAAACATATTCATTAAGGCAAGCTCAATTCTTGGTTTCAATATTATTGTGAGCTTGGATATAGTTCCTTAATCTTCTACTAGCGTGAGGTCCCAAGTGTAACTTTAATTGGTCTCTATGGCAGCTGAATATCGCTGTTTGCTTGTTGGTTGCATGGTATGGCAATGCATTATTAATGGTGAAGAGTTCTGCATAAAGCCAATGTAATCTGATGCTCCTTACTGAATACCGTTTTACCGTTTTTTTCTAGGCCATTGTGAGAAATTTTTCAATGAAGGCTGTAACAGGCTGCACCAACAAATACTTCTTTAGGTTACATGCTAGTGTGGTTGGGATTAAAAGTGAGGTAAAGGTGTACCTTTGTTGAACTGGAAGCTGTACTTAAACAGCTTAATTTGTACCATTTACTTTGATTTATACATACAAAATAATTTTTGCTGTGGAGTAGAGTTTGAATACAGAGGTTTAAAATGCTTTAAATAACAGCTGATGTAAATTTGGAACATCAGTTCTCTTTATAAATAAAAATACAAGCAGAAATATTCTCATGTTTAATCATCAACATCCTCTGTGTATTTTACAAATCCGAGCTTCATCTGTACAATGTCAAATCACACACCACACAATGTCCCTCAAATTATTCTAATTTTACACTGAAAAAAACTAAATTATTAATCATTTCGACACAAATTTAAATTAAGTTTAAATGATAATTTTTCTATTTTATTTAAATAGGTCATAAAGAACCAGATTAAGCTTCTACATTTCATGTCTGCTGGGTTCATGGTTTTTAAAACAAAAGTTGGGGATGAGATCAAAACCTAACCTCATACATTTCCGTCTAACTACAGACACACCTACCACCTACACAGCCACACTTCAGTGTGTGTGTGGTGTACTACTTAGTGCTTACTCTGTAGTGGAATAATGCAAAGCCAAGGATTTTTAAACCTATTGAACCCAAGCATTTTAAGATGCCACAATTTAAAAATAGCTGATAAGTTGTTAATGTGAGCATGATTTAATGTACTTAAACCATTGATAACCCTGCAAATTCAAAACTACCATTAAAGTGTTGGGGTCTACATCATACAAAAGCAAATCAGATAGCTTAAGAGTTGCGCTTACTGATCAGAAAACAGACACAAATTGAATATGCTCTTCATTTACCTGAAAAAGACAATTATGCTGGCCTTCTGTAAAATAAAGCATCTTCGCAGTTTGAATCTCTTGTTTGCTTACACAAAGTGATGACTCTGAATCACTAGAAAAATCATTCTTGAGACCTATGTGTGTTGTAAATATACTGTTTATCTGTTATGAGCCCACAATAAATACAGTACATGTGTACATTTAACCGGCTCAGAATAGACCTTACTGAGATCTCTATATTTTTACAAAAATTAAGAGTAACTTGAGTTATTTAACTTTCCCATATTTTCTATTAATGCTAAACAACTTGTAAAGACCAGAAAATACCTATTTTCTAAGCTTTTAAATATATGCACATTGTAAATTGGACTAGACATACACACTCATAAAAGACTTTGGGAAATAGCAGGCAGGAGATGTGTGTAAATGAACTATTCTAGCACACTCTGGTGGATAGAGAGGCCAAGTGAATTTCTGTTCAATGTATTCTGTCCTTTACCACATTCTTCTGACTGGAGGTTTATGCTGTATTTAATAGTAAAGTTTTCATTATATACATATCAGATCCTCTCTGAGACACTTATCAAAAATAAAACAATTTCTATCAGTTCTATTCAGTCAAGTTATGTTGTTTTATTGTAGTTTTTTCTTACCTTTTCAATTTTGATTTAACATGACTCAGTCTGCAGTTTTGAAAAAAACATAATGCTGTTTTAAAGTGCTAGTCAATGCTATATAATAGTAATTTCCACTTTTATAAAAATATATAACAACTTTTTTCTAAAAGAAACTTCCAAAAGGATGTGTGCAGGTATTTTTTCACAAAATCTGAGCTAACCTCCCGTGTTTTTCTAATGAGCATACTGTACTGTACTACACCCAAAATATTGAGCTTTGAGATTTTTATACACACGCTTTTTAAACCAATGCAGACTGTACTGTGTAAATTTTGATAATGGACTTGGGATTGAAGTCAGTGTTTATAGTGCTGGTCATTCTTGACATTTATAGGAAAATACATCTTTTTCCTCAGAAGCTCCAAGAACTAGGTAATAAAATAGGGAAACGTGATGTATCAAACACAGAAAGATGACGTGTACTACTGGTTTAGGAATGAAGAGAAAACAACTTTTTGAAAGAAAAAGGTTAACCACATTATAAGCTGTGTCTTGCATGCTAATGTAATATTACTAATAAATTTATTTCACAGAGTACACAGATTTTTTCACAAAATGTTTTCAAATGTACAACTAAGAAGCTTACAAGATTAAGATAACTAGGCTAGTAAAAATTTAAACTGTTCGATTCTGCCTCTTTCTGAAAGACTAGATTCTTGTAAACTGGGCAAATAGTACGAATAGCTAATGCATTTTAGACGTTTACACAGACTCACTTTTTGTGTTTCCCAGGGACGGGCATTTGATCTTGTATTAATACTTAATTTTCAGTAGCACAAAAGTCAACCTTGTGTGTTTTCTTTACAAAAAAGAGAAAAAAACAATGGGTTAAAACATCGCATTTTTATTTATTTTTTTAAGTACTCGTTAAGCAATTTCGTGATTGCAAGCCAGGCGAAGAGCATGCTATTTGTGGAAATGACAATGTGCTTCATTCAGAAAAAAAAAAAAGATTTGCTTAGTAAGCATCAAGAGTCGAAGTGAAGATAGCGTCATGCTGAATGAAATATTAATTTAGTGCTGCATTTTTTATTTACTACTGCAGCACAATGTTGGTTCAGCCATTAGTCTCTCTGACTAACCATCGTAATGCCATTAGAACATATTACAGCAGCTGCTTACTAGAAGGAATTAAGCATTAGCCATTCTTAAGGGAAGACAATACCGATTCACACTTCTGTAGGTCACAAGAAGACAGTGTAGTATCACCAGAGAAGTTCTCCACTGTAGCCCCAAACATTAGGGCACACCAACAAAGACTCTGGATGATTCCGTCCGCTGTGCCAACTTTTTCAAGCCTAATGAGGTAATGCTTTCCTTTCTCCTCCATTTCAGGGATTCAGGGATTTTTTGCTTAGAGGTGGTGAGAAAGTTTGTCATAAACTGTGCGAAACTAATATGTAGCATATGTTGCATCATCCAGGTGGGGGTTGCATATTAGAGGTGGTGGAGGGGAGTCCCCATTGCCTGTAAAGTGCTCTGAGTAGACTGTCCAGAAAAATGCTATGTAATTATTTTTATTATCATATGTTTAATTTAGCTGATGTTAACTCCATCCACTGTAACAACTACCATTAATTTGGTAAGAATGAGACTGATGTAAAGCCTTGCAACCTTTTTCATGAATGATGTGACATACAGTAAGTCAACAGAAAAGCAATTAAAAAGATAATGAAACCCAGGTAAATAAATTCTCACTGTTAACGTCTTTATACATTTATATTAATTAAATAACTCAAACTCTAGTCAAAATGGTTCTAGTCGTAAGAACAGAGTGCTTATATTTCCTGGAAATGGATTTAAAAATAAACCCTCTCCCTCACAAACAACAGAAACTGCATATATAAATTCCTACTTTATGCACCATTTTTATCAACCTGTTGTTTTGAAACATTCCTCGAGCATGGAATGACTTAGTCAACTGTCTTTGTAAAGTAAACTTGTACCTTAGAACTGATGATTAGCTTATCTGCTCTCAAATATAGGCTTTTCTTCGAAAGACAACCTGCCAGGGCGTTTCATGTATCTAATGTTTTCATTGCATTTCAGGAACTCAAGTCTTTTCAATGAGTAAACACGGTTCAAAGTGACTTGGTTAAAGGTTCACATTTCAGACTCATCAAAACAATCTGTTTCCCAGAGGAAAAGCTTTTGCGCTTTACACAGAATTTTAGACTATCATCACTGATCTGTCCTTGTACTTTAATTCAGTGTTTCACAATGTCGGAAGGGTACTATTTCACAACATTTCTCATGTTTTTACAGCAGTCGTGAATCAGAGTAACAGTTGATTTTTTTAATATACGGAAACCATAATTCCTTTAGATAATGCCCATCTAATTTTCCATTTATACAAGAAAACATCTATGTTTATCAATATTCAAATTCCACTCTTTCGATAAAATGTAAAGGAAACGTTTGTTTAGTTTCTGCCGAGAAACAATTTAGTTGTGCAAAGTCACCAGAATTCGTTTTTCCAACCTGTACCAAACTTTACAACGACAGGGAAAAATATTAATCAGAGCTTTCTTTCTCCGACACTAATGACGTTCTTGTCCTGACTCTGTTCTTATCTCAGGACAAAGTCAATACGTCTCCAGATTCCTCCGAGACTTAAGTTTAAAACAATATGGTTTCTCTTCTCTTCTTTCTGTCGTATTTTTCTAACTCTGGAAACCTCATTTTTATGAGCTGCTTTGCAAACACGAAAGTTGATGAAGTGTCTTTCTTCGCTCTGTCTTCCTCTCGCTGTCTTTTATTTTGCTAACGGTACCACCTGGTTGCTTGAAACGGGTTTACTCTGAACGGCTGACCGCAGGTCTTTGTGGCGTGGGGATTAACCTCAAATTGATCCTCTTTATTTCTAGGAGAGAGGGGATGCGTTTGTCTTTGTTAACGTGATCGGCTCCACCCACTTATCTAACAATATTCAATGGTGTGCGTTTGCAGTGTGTGTCATAATGCTACAAATTAAAAAAAAAAGCTCCGGTATCTGGTGCAGGATTCCCAAGTCTGTTTAAGGAATACCTACAGTAGAGTAACACCCCAAGTTTTCCATAGTTATGGTGTCAAGTAGATTTGTAAAGGACAAGCAATGCTCTACATGTGACTATAGGAAGAGATAGTAAGAAACTGTCTTAGATTCAATGTAAGTAAATAACACTCACGCGTCTCAAATGATTTCTTACTTCCTTGTGACAGCACTGGCATTACCTGGACAAAATGGAAACGCTTTCGTGTTTTGACTTGGGCCCGCAGAATGAATTTTAATTTAGTGACTTGTAAAACCGTAACACACCATTAGATGGGGCTGCTGGCTGTTTAGTTGTATGATCAGCGTTTAGAGCCAAGTTGAGGAGAAAATAAATACGATTAAAAAAATGTTTTAGTTACTTTAAGAAATTTTAAAAAAGAAGGTTGATCCAGACAGGTGAAGTATGACGAGACAAATACTATAACACTAAATGAAAAGCGCACTTGTTGAAAGACTAAGAAATGCAAAAATTAAATGAAAATTTAAGTTGGCATCTTTCTAGTAATCATCTATGTTTATTAAGTAATCACGCGTGAATTAGTCCGAATTTTTATCTGACAATTATAAAACGAAATGCGCCTGCTGTATATTACACTAGTGATAGGAATACATACTGTTATTTTTTATATTGATGTAATGAACAATTTAAAATAAAAGCAGTTGTCCTAAAGGTAACTAATCATAGTTAGACCTTATTAATAGACCTCTGCATTAGTTTAAAGTTAATGCCTTCATACAGTTACACAGGATAAACATTAAATTTTCCCAATTAAACCTGGATTTTGTTTCCTGGAACAATTTTATAAACGTCTAATACTCTGTGCTGTACCGAAGTTTGTTTGAATTTTAAAGGCTGCTTCCTAGTAAAGTGTGCCACACAGAAAAACAAAACCCTTTTCGGTTTATTTTGATCATACTTTAAGACTTGAGGCCTCTACGTATGATAGTACATACAGTGTATGGTTTCTGACTTACACAGAGTTGACCTTTTTTTAGAAAAAAACTAAGAGAAATAATCTATATATAGTCCTGGTTAACTCATGCATCTGTAAGTCAAGACATGCAGAGATAAAGTGAACTTCTCCTTTTCCGCGTTTTGTGTATGGCAGTGGTTATTTCAACTTTACAGCACCACTGTCTATGCACACCTATAATTAGACCTCGTCTAGGACTGAAAAAATGTGTTACACATATCTGGTCCGCTGCCTCTGTGTCTGAGGCTGACATGCATTTCATTGTCATGTGGTCCTGTGCTGTAGGTACAATAGCTACGGTATTAAACTTTGCTGTGTGAGGCCTTCATTTCTTAACCAACCTTATTCCAAATGGATGCTATTCAGGCACTTTGACTGTGCAAGGGTCACACGAATAGCAAGACTGCAAACCCTCTTAATGAATGTAGGTCGTTTGCATGATCTGTAAACTGGCATGAAGGGATTAAACAGTCTATTTATTATAAGAAAACAAGCGTTTCACTAACAAAACCCAAGCTATCCTGAGAGAAGAGGGAAACACCAGAGAAAATATCTGCAACAGTAAAAATACCTCGCCAGTGTTTAGATATTATCGCATGCTGGTACAGATGTTGGCCCACAAATCAGCCCTTTGCCCCTAATTTGTACCTAAAATTTTCTCAAGTAGTGTAGGACTGCATGATGAATTAAGCGCATCAGGTTCTGCTTCCTGTGATCTGCGATCACCCTGCTTCTCTGCTTGCCTAGTTTTTACTCTCTGAGCTCTTCCCCAAGCCTCGTACCCACACAGGGCCAGGAAGACCGGCTGCTTCCCTCCCCTCTCTATATGCCTTTCTTGCTGCCATCAAAAAACGTTTCCATCTGACTTACCCTATGCTTTGCTTTGCTTTGCTCTGCATGTTTTTAAAACCTTTTCCAGGCCACGGCGCTCCAAAGTAGATTTACCTTCAATCACCATTTATTAAATCTCCATCCATTAGAAAAGCATAGCTTCCAGGAGCTGGGTGCATTAAGCCTGATTATAGAGGCTAGGGAGAGGAAAGGGGTCTCTGTGTCAGCACATCGTTGAGTTATTTTCCCTTGCTCTTGTCTCTGTCCCACTGAATGAGAACTCTTCGAAGTGAGAGGGAGGGGGGGGGGTAGATCTCTCACGCTTTCCTGCCAAAGCATAACTTCTTGTTCTGTTTTTTTTTTCCTCTTCTTTTTGTCCTCACCTGCCAAACCTGGCTAGAGCCAAGCTCAGCTTATTGCGATGCAGGCTCGGAGTGTCCCTTTGTGACACGCCGGTGGCTCACACATGGAGAGCCGGAGCATCAGAGGGAGGAAGGATGCTGGAAGTCGAGGTGGGAAGTTCCCAGGATCCCTCCGGAGGAGCGGCTCCTTTAAGCGCACCTCCATCAAGCGGACGGCATCGGGGTCACAGAAGGTAGGAGAGTTTTTTTTCCCCACTCATTATGCTGTTAGCAGAATTGCACCATCTTACAGCAAATGTATACAGTGTGTGTCAATGACCAGCAGGAGGCTTTATTATTCATCTACATTTTGATACCTCATTCTTGCTTTCTGCCTTTGTTGGGGGGGGTGGGGGGGTGGAGTTGCAACTGTTGCTCTAGTAGAGTGGCTTCAGGTGGGACTACACATCTGTAGCAAGGTTTCAACGACAGACCCAATAAGCCATGCTCCAGTAATAGCAATCAATAAAAGCACTCTGGCATTAAAAATGATAAGATTGAACCTGGAATTCATTTTTTTTCCTTCAGAAAGCCAGCTTGCGCACCATCAGGACCGTGTCGGGTGGTAAACTTTAGAATCTTTTGGGGGTAACGACTGAAGGTCGTTAAAGTGTTTTTCACTTTGGAACCAAGATCCACCATAAATGTCTCTCACCCCCCCGCCCCAAATCAGGTTCACAAGATCAGACTGCAGTGAGGCCTCGGTCTTTGGCACCTCTCTACAAGTCCATCTTGTTGGAAATGTGAATTCAAATGGTGCAAAGTTGGTGCTGCTTAAGGCAGAAATAAATGGAATAAAAAAAAATACACTGACCATACCCGAGCTGCTTTTGTCTTTACATCTGTACCCCCTGAGTTTATGTTCTATGTACTTGTTCATTCTACTGCTCTGGACTAACTGTGGAGCCCATGACCTAAGTGGCGTGCAAGGTGCTGGACTGCCTTTTGACATCTATGGATAGTTGGTTACAGAGGTCACTGGCAGACTATGTACTGTATGTTGAGAACAGCAACTCAATCTGTCATGCGTAACCTGTAAACAAGGACATCTGTGGAGGTAACAGAGTTAATCTGTAATAAAACATTGCTCTACCCTGCTACTTATTTGGAGCAATTTAGCACAGAGGATCAGAAATGACAAAACGTTTTGCCATCTTAATTTTTATTGTGTTTTTACCATCTATCCACGCACAAGCTCACCCAAAAAACGACAAAGGTATTTTTAAAACTACAGGGCAATGTTAAAAATCAGACATAATGCATCTATTATTCGGAGACTAAGTTGTTTAAAATTATTGGATTCAATTTAGAAAATCTACCTTAATAATACCATTGTATGATTTCATAAATCATTTGGAATATTGAAGAACTGTTTGCATAATCCTTCATAATCACATACTGTAGCAAACCAGCATAGAATAATTATTCATAACACACAGTTAACTCCGTCTGCCAGACAGATTTTTGCAGATGCTCCTGATTGTGCAGCTGGAATAGGAATATTTAAAAAAGATTCTCTGACAGATCAATGCAATTGTAAAAACACAGAAATAAATGGTTTCATTTCAGACATTTATAGCACAGTTCTTTAAACAGATCCTATAATCACTAAACCTAATACTTTAAACCTTCGTTGTAGATCATTTAGAAAAAAAAGTTTTGTTAAAAAAATCCATTACTACTTATATCTTTCATGCTTCCAGTCCAGAGACCACTGTGACAAACTGATATTAACCTCAATAAGGGAATCCTGAAATTTCTCTACTACTTCTCATTGATATTTTATAACATAAAGGTCATAAATATGAAATCTTTTCGCCACACACTGCTTTCAGATCTAATGTAATAGAAAAATAGAAGTGCACAAAATAACTTGTTGTTCAAATGTGAAAGGAAAATACTGCTAGATATCTAACATGTTCATTTTCTTTGGAAACTACAGGGGACAACAGTAGTTTTTATTCCTAATGAATCAGCAATACAAACTTTAAATCAGAAGAATAGCAAAATTGCAGGAAATCATTTTAAAGTGACGCCATGTATTGTGGAGAATTCAGACATACAGTCTTGCAATATTTAATGTGTTTTATGAGTAGCAGAATTGTATGGACTTATTATGCAAATAACAACATGCTAATGTGATATTCTGATTCGGTTTAAACTACCTAAGGTGGCCTTTCAAATTATTTCCTATTACGTTTCTTTTTGAATGCTCAAGGTGTAAAACCAGGAAGTGGAAAGGGGGGGCAGTGTATTGTGACAGCAGGTCACTAAGTGTGCTTTCCCTTTGTATGCAGTAGAGTGGTAGGGGACGCTTTGGAGAGGTGCAGTACCCCAGTGCTGCTTAGTCACTCCCTCACATGCCATTGAGCTTTTCAGAGCACGTTCAGTAGTTGGGTGGCATAGTGCTGCAGTAATTAGCACGGCTGGCTTGCAGACCTGGGGTGCTGTCTGTGTGGGGTTTGTATGTTCCCCCAGTGTTCGTGTAGGTTTCTTCTGACAGTCCAAAGACAGAGTGTACTCTTAGTTAAATGGGTTCCTGGGAAAAGTGGCCCAGGTGAGAGTGTATACATGTCTGTGTCTGTGTCTTCCCCGCAATGGACTGGGGTCCGGTCCAGTATCCACCCTGCTTTGTGCTCATTGCTTGCCGGCTCCCAGCTGTGACCCTGACTTGGAAAAAGCAGTCAGAAAATGGATAGATGGTTGTTCTGAAGTTACAGATGATTAAGTAGTTAGCAGATTATATCTTTTGGAAATTGTGGTAGGGAATTCCTCACAATATGGAGTGTGAGGAGTCCCAGAAAATGGGAATTATATATTTTTTTAAAACTTTTAAAAATGTTTGCCCCAGGGACTTCTACAGCCAGTTTTGTTCTAGATTGCAAAAGAAAAGTGTTTGTGTCTTCATATTGTCCTGGAAAAGAAATGGACTGTCTATTTTCTTTTGCACTAGGTCTAAGATGTCTGCCTGAAAGTCTGTTCTGCCTGAAAATTGTGTTTTAGTAAACCATGAACTCACTGGCAGCATTCATTCCTAAAGGGAAGTGAAACGAGTCAATGAGATGCTTTCCTATTGAGTATAATACGATTTAACCATCCAGAACATAATTAAGGAGTTCTTTAAAAAGCTCTCATTTTTACCTGCCAGCACAGTCACAACGACCTTAGTGTTTCAAAAGACATCTTTATAAACTGAAACCAATATTAATAAACTGTAGACAGATATTAAGATAAAAGATAAATAGATAAAATACAGAGCTCAAAGTTAAGCTTTTAGCGTACCAGCCAAAACATTACAAATAGCCAGAGCGTAATCCTGGCCTTGCACCCTTGTCTGGTCTCTAGGATGGTTATACAGTCACAAGCTTTGTAAAGAAAGTAGTTCAAGGGACAAATGCAGGTCATGTGAAAAGTAGAAGACACTAATTTAGACTGTAGTTGGGCCCCTTTGGTGAGCATGTGAATAACCTTTGAGATCAAATGTGTCCATACAATTGACAAATAATGTCATATTTTTGTTTTTAGTTGAAGACGGCAGGCAAGAAAACATACCCAAAATAAAAATGTTTTGTGTTAGATTGATGTAAGTTCATACAGATTTAGCGAAGGCTTCTTTTCTAGCAGAATTGACTAAATAACGTAACCCCAATTTGAATTTTCCCTAATGACAGGCACCTCTGAAAGTATAAAAACTGACCTATTTTTTTTCAGCACTGAGCTATTACATTTACTAGCTGAGGAAATGTATTGATATTGTCTTAAGCATGGCAGTTTGGAATAATCTATACTCTTATTTTGAGATCCTGGCAGAGAAAAAAATGACTATCAGAAAACTTATAGAATGCCAAGATCTCTATGGTACTATCAAATTAGGAAAAATTAAAAGTAAAGTAAAGTAAAGTAACTGATTTTCATATACAATGCATACTTATGTGGTACAGTAGGTAGAAAGTTTTCCATATTTTGTGAAAAGATAAATATGCTGCATTCACTAAAAACGACTTTAAATGTAAGATTTGGTAAAAAGGTGATTTTTACAATTTCATTATAAACAAACCAGTCCTGTTCAATCTATTCTGAAGATTCTAGACTTAACTTTTATACACAAAGTTAAGTGGACCTAGAATATCTGATTTGGTTCCAGCCAATGATATCCCTGCTAATGGAAAAAAATATTGGTATACGGTATCTCTGGCACTTCTTAAAATATAGCATCACTTTAAAATGATGGCATGGTCAATTTATCACACATTTTCAAAGGCAACAGACCCACAATCAGTTTGGATCCTCAAATGTAAAAGGCTTAACAGATGACCTACTCTACAAAATATCTCTGAAGCTCGCTTTTAAGGACTACAATGCAACATGTGTTCTTTAAAAAATAAGCCTTTTCTCTTCCAGTAATTAGAACAAAGGGATTTCATTTTAAACTCTAGTACAGTATGCAGGAAATCTACAAAAAAAACAAACTCTCCTGCAATATTTGTAAGAGCGTTTTTTGCAGAAAATTAAACATTGCCACTTAAGACCTTCCGTACCTCCCTATGTGCCCAGGACACACGGGGCACAAGTGATATCAAGGCCCACACAGCTTTGGCAGGAAGTTATGCTACAGCATGTGAGGACATCATGGCAGTGCTGGGTTTAATCTCTAGTAATGGCCCCGTAGAGGCTCCAGCAGCTGGAAAGGATTAAATCTTTTTTATTTTGTTTTTTCTAAAGTCTGCTTTCATGTGATTAATACGCTAAAATGTATACTTAAAAAAGCAACTGATGACAGCAGAAGAGATTTGGACAGGCTGGTAAATTTAACTGTGGTATGTCTATATACAGTCTATACAATACCCTACAAGAGTACTGGGACACTCTTATTTTGGCTTTAGAGTTAAACAACTCATTTTTGTGATCAAGGAATGAATCTGAATGATAAGCGTGCAAATAAAATATATAATATAGCTTTTCAATTGGGTAATTCCATGCACGTTTTATCATATTTTTTACAAAACATACTGTGCTTTGCTGCAGCTACAGTACTGTGGGTTCTTGCCTATTCTCGGAGTGTTCTGACTTCAACTTGTTCCTCAGCATGTAGAATGCCTGATCTGTTGAATTTAAATCTGGAGATTGACCTGGCCACTCTTCACTTTTTTCTTCTTATGAAACACCTTGGTTGCACTGGCCATATGTGTCGGGG